CAGTGAGCAGCAAACATGTACCTAGTTCCCAAGATTTCTTCCATGAAGCCGATTCCTGGCTTTGCAACCAGTCTGGAATTAAGCCGCGGTGCAAGCAGGAACCAGAACCCGGTCTCATGTTCAGCCAACAGATCTCGCAAAACAAGGACGAATCTCATATTTAGCCAAAAGATCCAGCAAGACCGAAGACACAGCCCAGGATGAAGCTTAGATGCAGCAAGAACTATTGTCTAGTCTGGAGTAATGTTGAAGAATGCAGCAAGATCCAGAATCTTACCAGAGACTGTGCCAGCATTTTTGTTGTTTAAAACCTGAGCAGGGAAAATACCTCACCGTATTTCCACTTTTTTTCTCCGAGTAAAATGGGCTGGGGTCACCTAAAAATATGAAACTACACACCCTAGTGTTTCTTTCAGTTGATACAAATGAATGAAAACATGCACATTAATCATGCAATTTACAACTATGATGGCAGGGTCGCTTGCGCATGGGCGTAGAAACAGGGCGTGGGGGTGGGGCCGGGGGCTATGATCCCACTTTTCAAGGTGGGGGAGGGGCAGTAATGTTAAATGGCCCCCTACTTTTCAGATTAAGGCATTTGGCTTAAATTTGCACTACATTTAACATGCGTGCCGATTTGCCTAGTTCACCAGCCATCTCACCATCGTCATCTATTCGCGTTTGATGCGTGATCTGTGCGTCATCAGATGATAAAACAGATGCGTCATCTTTTTCGTTTACTCATTGGCCATCGCTTAATGTTACGGCCGCAAGGCCGACGCCGCAGGGCTTGGAGACTGCAACGCCGGGCCTCGAGGCTATTGCTATGATTTGCGAGCGCGCATGTTCAAGACCATATTACGTGGTTTTCTATCAGAAATCAGTTCTGACAGGATATTTAGCATTTTAAGACGAACACGGGTTAGCAATGCTAATACGAATTGGAAACCCCATTTCATCTACAGTCTAAGGTCAGGGAGAACTCAATATCTCTGAAGAAGACAGAAATACACGGAACTGAATTCTTTGTGACAATTATTGGACTACCTGCGGTGATCAGGAATGTTGTTCCGTCAATGATGGTTCCTGTACTGATCCGGGGCTACCTGCGCGGGTGAGAAGGCTTTCCATGTCAGGGATGGGAACCATGTGATATGATATATCCTTCTAATGGCCTCTGGATCGACTAGGAGATCCCGCCCCGTGCCACCAGAATGACAGCCAGAAGACACTTCGCGATGGGACGGAATGGCCCTTCAGCCCGTGACCGGAAACGGTATGTACCCCTGGTATTCTACTCAGGAGGCCCCTTGCTCGGAAGGGAATAAGGGGTCTCATTATTGTTGAGTCAACGCGGGTCTCATTACTGTTAATTAGGTTGGGTCGAAATGAGCTTTGAAAACGGGGAAGATCATGCCATGTTTGCCTGACAACGTTCGTTTTTCAAAATGCATTATTGAGACAAATTGCATCAAAGGGCTTGAATTTGCCCGTCCGCAACCTCAAGAGCAAGAACACGAATGGTCTGGGCTGCAGCTTCCGTAAAACCGAAAAGCTTCTGCCACTGCAAGTGCTACCAGACGGCGGGCGCCGTGTTAATCTGTCTCTGGATATATGAATAGCTGCAAAGAAACGAAAAATAAATATTCTACCTTCACTCTTCAAGCTTAACCACCAGATTGCAGTATAACTTCGCGGTGCTTTAAGGGTCAATCGGTTCTTTTCATCTGTCTAAAAACTGCACACGTGAAACATGCCCCCAGGCTGCCTTCTGAATGTAAGGTCTGATGTTATGAGGCGTTCAAGCATACTTTTTTGGAGGCGTCATGATTTCCACTTAGGCACACCACTTAGTCCACTACCACGTCCACCATTTAGCCACAGCTCAATATTAGCTGCTAAGCCGATGCTGCGCGGCCTTCGGAGACTGCAACGCGTGGGGTCGAGTCTTGTGTTTCTAAGATTTTCTAGTGCGCACACCCAAAATTACGTCACATGACTCGCATTACTAGTCGATTTAAGTGTTTAAAGATAATAATTTTAGAGGCGTCATCATCTTTGTCCACCGGTGGGCCACGACTAAGAGCAACTGGGCTAACGCCCGGCGGACTATGGAGATTACAACGCTTGGTGTCGAAGTTTTGTTGCTAAGATTTGCAAGAGCGCATGTTAAGAAAACACGTTACATAAATTGCATCACTGATCGATTCTGACTGAATGGTGAACATTTTCAGAGAAACATGGCTTAGCCATGTTAATACGCATTGCCGACCACTCGATCTGCAATACAATTTTCCTCTTCAAATTTGGATCAAACATATCGATCTACAATCTACCTTCGCGATGTCCTCAATGTCAGTAGAACCGAGGTAACAAATTCTGTCAAAGCTTCTCAGTTCTCTCCGTTTAGAAAGAGTCAACCAACCATTGTAAATCAGGAGCACCGGTGATTTATTCCATGTAGCCGTTCAGCGCCTGATTTCTGCAGTTCATTAGACTCAAAATACAAAGAGAATTAAGCTTTCGGTAGTTCCTGGTTTTTGTTCTGGTGAGAAGAAAAAATGAGAATGAAACGAAGAAAACCGCATCACTTGTTAACAAGTAAACTATATCCGGGGATTTTTGGGGGATCATCATAAGACGGGCTTTTGTCAACCTTGTGTTTCTCCTTGGCAAGGCTCCGCCTACACACAAAAACAGGTCAAGTCGTATACGTTGCGTGATGGGCAATGCAGCATCCGTTGTGTCAGTTCATACCTAAGGCAGACAGCTTCCCGGAGGTTATTTTTCTGCGATGGTGTGGTGTAAAGGAAGACAGTTAGGAAAAATATGTTATTGCAGCTGTCCGACACATGTTTCATATGGCATGTAGTACTAACGCTGATCCAAAAGTATGCAACAAAACAGCCATACAATCAGCTCGCAGTCAGTCATGCGGGAGAAATCCGGGCCAGGGCCGTGGCCACCAACGGCGGACAGGAGCAGGGCCCAGATAAGGAACATGTTGCAGATTGGCCTTATTATATGGCTTAGTTTTTTCATGACATGAAAATCAAAAGTTTTATGACTTTTGTCATCTTGTTTCTGGCAGTTTCAAGCTCCCAAATTTCTTTCCGCCTAAAATGCTGCGACAATTCTTCTCTCTGAAAAAGCAGCCAGCGAAATGAAGGCACATGAAAAATCTGTCGCACCGTGAACCATCGATCCCCGTTCAAAACTATTACCAGCTTATATTCAGGACTTATTTTGGCATCTGTGCTGCGGAGACAGATGCTTCCTCAATGACCCGAAATGCCTACCCGCTCGGGGAATTTCGCCTCCCCAGGAAAGAAAATGTTAAAATTGACGAATAATCTTGGGAAGCTGGATAGCCTTAGTTGCCAAATGACAGATGAGTCGAATAGGAAAGACTGTGCAGCAGTGAGAAGCAGCTCTAGATGCAAATCTAGCATAGCGGACATACCATTTGAATAAAGAGCGATAACAATCTTCATTCGTACCCGCCCCCCCCCCTCCCCCTCCCCCGATCATCGGGCTCGCTTCCCAGAAAAAAGTTCCTGAAGTACGCCGCGAGCTTGGCCCCACTTTTTGAAACGTTTCTACGCCTATGCGCTTGCGTATGACGTGTTTCACTCTTACTATGATTGTCAATATTTTTCAAGGCATATGCCTGATAACAAGTTTCATGTAGTTTGTTTTTCTGTCCCTGGCAATATCTGTATCTGTGTTTAGTTCTGTTCAATGAACTCCAATTCAATATACGACGCCAACCAACCACTCAGTATTGATCAGAAATTTGCAGCAGGTAAGCCATGCGATATGTGCATGGAAGTCCCAGACATGCCTTGTCTGTGCTCGTTCAATAAAAATTCCGCCTTGACATTGAACCGTATTTTAGCCTTGTGGCAATGGTAAATGTCAGTGATGCCACTTCAATAGTTAATATTTGTGGACACAATGTTAAAGTTGTCTTTGTTTGTAAGCAGCATTGCCAACAGCGCAATGGTGACTGTCTTAGAATGAAAGACGGGTGTTGGTAAAAGGGGAATAACGGTCATTTCAAAACTGTGATGTAGTATCTATTCCTCATTATTCCTTATTATTCCTTATTATAGTATATATATTATTATTCCTTGTTATTCCTTCTTATAGTATATATACTATTATTGATTCCTTATTTATTCCTTACTGAATGTGGTGCACATTCGAAATTCATGGAACCTTTTATGATGGGCTGTTTAAAATGCCACTCCTTTCCATTTGTAATAAAAAACTGTCGTCAGTGTTGAATATATTCTTTCAAACAATATGCACTTCATAGTACGCGCACTTCGATCACTGCTGTCTGAGCAACATTACTGGTATTAGCCAAACAATGTTGTGCATTAGATGACACCGAGATGAAACTTTATGCACGCTATGAAAAGATCTAAAATTAGGGAAAATCACAGAAAGGTTGCAGTTTACTTGGTCTTGCGTTTTAAGGGCCGGGTCAGCATTATAGCACAGTTGGCTTTTGCAAGATGAGAGCCTGGCTGGCCGAGGCGGGCCGAGCTGCGGGCTAACATTTTGGAAAGAGTTGGGCCTCTAATTTTCCCCATTTTCCCTGACCATTAGTGCGCTGAGGCTACATATGATCACACCAAGGCGTGTCGTTCTTCATCCTCCCCGGTTCAAGGGCAGCTCGGTCCGGCGTGCCTCCCTGTGAACGAACTGTGACCGGCTGTTGACTCTGCTTCCCTCCAAGTTTTACAGTCTTATGGTTTGCTTTGCTTCGTGTTATCTTTGTTATTGCCTGATCCCTTTTTCGTTTTTTTCTCTAGTTTTCGCTTTAGTATGCTGTCGGTCTCGATATGCATGCATTCAGTGCACGCGACATTTCATGTATGCTAGTGAACACAGCGCAAAATTGTCAGCTCTCTATATGTCTGCCACCTAATTATCTGAAACATATTACCAAGTTATTAGGGATGCTACCTGACAAACTAGCCAGTCATTTGTCAATGTCCATATCTGTAGCTGGAGAAGTGCTTCTTGTATCCACCGAACTGTCCGCCGCCGAGTCCGTATCCGGAGAAGTGCTTCTTGTATCCACCGAACTGTCCGCCGCCGAGTCCGTATCCGGAGAAATGTTTCTGGTATCCACCGCCGAGGCCGTACCCGGCTCCCAGTCCGCGGAGACCGAATCCGCCGAATCCGCCTCTCAGCCCGCGGAGACCGAATCCGCCGAATCCGCCTCTCAGTCCGCGGAGACCGAATCCGCCGAATCCGCCTCTCAGTCCGCCAAGGGCGTACCGCCGTCCAAGCCGTACCCGCCGTTGAAGCCGCATCCACCGTTGAGGCCGTATCCACCGTTGAAGCCATGTCCGCCGTTAAAGCCGTATCCACCGTTGAAGCCGTTCATACCGTAGCCGTACCCGGCTCCTAGTACGCTGAGGCTGAATGGTCCCATGGCCGAATGGAAAGGAATCAGCAAGAACCAGAATCTTACCAGAGACTGTCAGCATTTTCCTTGTTAAAAATCTGAGCAGGGAAAATATCTAACCGTACTTCCGTTTTTCTCAGAGTTAGAGTACTGGGGCCACTCAACAATATGAAACTACACCCTTGGTGCTTCTTTCAGTTAATACATATGGATGAAACAATGCAAACTAATCATCCAATTTACAACCATAACGGCCGGGTCACTTGCATATGATACGTTTCGCCCTTACTGTGATTGTCAATATTTTTTGAGGTTATGTCTGGTTACGATTTTCGTTACGATTTTCGTGTGGTTTGCTGTTTCTATATCTCGCTATATCTGTATCTGCGTCTAGTTCTGTTTAACAAATTTCATTTCGACATACGACGCCAATCAATCATTCAGTATTGATCATAAATTTGCGGTAGGTAGGCCATGCGATATGTGCACAGAGGTCCTTGACATGCCTGATCTCTTTTCGTGTCATGGAAATTCCGCTTCAACATTGAACCATGTATTAGTCTTGTGGCAATGCTAAATGTCAACAAAGTCGCTTCATTGCGTGATAGTTGTGGACGAAATGCTAGAGCTGTTTTTGCTTGTACGCAGCATTACAAACAGCGCAACGGTGACTGTCTTGCAGTGAAAGACGGGTATTGTTTTTTGGCAAAAGGGAAATGACAGCCATTTCAAAGCTGCGATGTGGTAATTATTCGGCGCTGTTGCATGGTGAATTCTTTAAGGAAAGCAAACACCATATAAGAGCATGCGTCTGCCTCCTGAATACAGGTCATGACAGTGCGGCATTGTGACGCATTGAACGGTGCTTGTGCCTGTGTGTATTGTTATGAACTGAGAAGGCTTCCCATGCTTTTAAATGTCCTACATTCTTTACCTTGGCAGTGTAAACCCTTGGATTGATACATGAAATTGAAAAAAGACGTTTAGCGGTTAGTTTACTGAATGTGGTGCAAATGCGAAATTTCTGGTGTATTTGGTGATAGGTTATTTGAAATACCACTCCTTCCCATTTGTAACCAGAAAACTGGCGTCAGTGTTTAAGATGCTCTTTGAAACAATAGAAATGTTATAGTCCAAAACATTATGATCACTGCTGTCTAAGCAACTTTACTGGCACCAGCCAAACAATGTTGTACATTATATTACACTGAGATGGAGTTTTATGCGTGCTATATGGGGGTCTAAAATTAAAGAGAAATCGCAAAAAAGACTGCAGTGTCCTCAGCACGTGCAGGTTAACGGCCGGGTCAGCATTGTAGCACAACTGGCTTTTGCAAGATGAAAGCCTGGCTGTCCATCGCGGACCTAGCTGTGGGCTAACAGCTTGGAAAACGTTGCGTCTCCAATCCCGTCCCACTTTTCCTATCTATTAGTGCGCTGATGCTACATATGACATCAGGGCATGTCCCTCCTCATGCTCTCCAGTTCAAGGGCAGCTCGATCCGGCGTGCCTCCCAGCATTTGCTTTTGTTTCGCGTTATATTTGTTATTCTCCTGCTCCCTTTCTCGTTCTTTTCTCTCGTTTCCGCTCTAGTATACTGTCGGTCTCCATATGCATGTCATCAGTGCACGCGACAGTTCATGTATTCTGGTGAACACAGCGCAAAATGATCAATTGCTAATATATCTGCTGACTAAGGAACCGAAACATTTTACCGAGGTATTAGAGACGTTACCTGAAAACTAACCAGTCATTTGTCAATGTCCGTAGCTGTAGCTGGAGAAGTGCTTCTTGTATCCACCGAACTGTCCGCCGCCGAGTCCGTATCCGGAGAAGTGCTTCTTGTATCCACCGAACTGTCCGCCGCCGAGTCCGTATCCGGAGAAGTGCTTCTGGTACCCACCGCCGAGGCCGTACCCGGCTCCCAGTCCGCGGAGACCGAATCCGCCGAATCCGCCTCTCAGTCCGCCAAGGGCGTATCCGCCGTTGAAGCCGTATCCGCCGTATCCACCGTTGAGGCCATATCCGCCGTATCCGCCGTACCCCGCCGTTCAGGCCGTAGCCGTAGCCGGCTCCTAGTCCTCGGAGGCCGAATCCGCCGAATCCGCCCCTCAGTCCGCCAAGGGCATATCCGCCGTTGAAGCCGTACCCGCCGTTGAGGCCGTATCCGCTGTATCCGCCGTACCCGCCGTTCAGGCCGTAGCCGTAGCCGGCTCCTAGTCCTCGGAGGCCGAATCCGCCTAATCCGCCGAATCCGCCTCGCAGTCCACCAAGGGCGAATCCACCGGCACGCCCGCTGAATGGTCCCAAGAACCCGCCATAGCTGGGAGCAGCCGCAGCCACCAGGCAGAGAACGATAGCCAACTGTAAGGTGTAGAACGAAGCTATTAGGACAGCTTCTTGTGCGCACGCGGGTTAGATGTGACTGTGTCATGAATACATCGTGGTACAAAAGGGTTGAAATACCTCAGACTCATGAGGTGCTTTACAGGAATTTGACATCGCTGTGGAGGCGGGAACTACTAGTGCAGTATGCGGTCTTTATGCTGAGTGAATAGTGCTTGCAAAATAACACCGTGTTTTCTCTGCTACCTGTCTGTAAGTGTGGCTCAGAAGTATGCAGCACGAAAAGCTTCATAGTACCATTATTAAAACAAATTCAAGTGTCATGAAAGCGACGATTCAAATGAATCGAAATTTTGCACTTTCACTCCTCGAACGCCGCAGCATGTGAGAGCTGCTTTTAATTCCATTGGAAAAAACAACAGTACGTTACGGCTGAAGGCGAGATGCATAGGTGGGATATCGCAGTCGTTCAACATCTGTTGGCTGGCATGCTGATGGCAGCGAGCTCATATTTTAGAAGGAAACGATTTCAAATGAATTTTTGATGAGCGGGATCTCATTCCGTCCTCCGTGTGCAATTGCGTTGCCCTGCTCACTCCAAGTACATGCGTCATGTGAGAAGAAAGTCACCATTCAGACTGATAACGTTTATCTCAATAAGAGTCAAGCATGAACACGGAGATCAACGGCCCGAATAAACGCGGCGCTGCAAGTGCAGGCCACATGCGTTTTGTTCAAACGTGATGTGAGCAAAGCCTGCAAATGCGCCACTTTGTATGACTTGTTTCGTCAGCGTGCATTGGTGGACGGGGCGCGTATGACCGCTGCTTTGCGACCCCTGGACTTTGGCGGAGTTAGAAGTATGAACCCTGTGGGAGATGGTGTTTCGGAGTTAGAAGTATGAACCCTGAGCGAGATGGTGTTTCGGAGTTAGAAGTATGAACCCTGTGGGAGATGGTGTTTCGGAGTTAGAAGTATGAACCCTGTGGGAGATGGTGTTTCGGAGTTAGAAGCATGAACCCTGTGGGAGATGGTGTTTCGACTGGCAAAGACTTCAGGGAAACGGACACCGAGGCTCGATCTCAACATTTCGGTAGACGTTTCAAGCTCGGCCTTTGAGATGTAGCACAAGTAAATAGGTTTAAATTAAGCGATGCAGAAAACAGAATGCTCCCATGAATCTCCGGTAAAGGCTGTCAGAAGCTCCTCCGATTTGGGTGCTGAACAATGAGCGTGATGAAACTTGACACGATATTTGGCGGAGATTTACAAGCCGTTACACAGCTGTCCACACAGTGGGATCTGTCCCACAGTGTGGACAGGTGTATGTGCGGAAGAGAGTGTTATGGTCGAGACAATACTTTACCCTCATGGCGGCGAGTAGTTGATGGTGGCTGCTAGGCGTTGATGAGTGGTGGTTACTATGGCACACCTGTCCTTTTATGCCAGATTTATCCCCTGGTTGCTGCACTCTGCACCAGATCAATGTGGGTACCACGCCCTGTTAGTTGAGAGTGAAAGCAAATAGTTCTGTTTGTAAAAATGCAGTCAGGGTTGCAGGCGTGTCACTTTTTATAATCGGTTAGGGGGCTCAGCGAAAATGCTGACCTAACCTACTCCGGTTCAAATGCGTAACTGACCTGGCTCTCGCCATTCACCAGCTACATTTGACAACTGTCCATAAGGTCGACAGCTTCTCACAGTTATATCCAGCGGTCGAACGCTGCTACAACCGCAAAAAAACAACATCGCAAGCAGTCTTCAAAGTTGCAAAGGTTGTCTTCACGCTATGGATAATTGCAATACCACATGGCTCAAGGAAAATGAGTCACACAATGTTCGCTACATTCTTCATGCGATGTCTGAGATGGTGTGAAGCCTTTTGATAGTACCCTTTCCGGTAAGTTTTGGGATTCTAAAACCGATGAACGCTCTTCTTTCTGTATTCCTGGCCATCCCGCGTTGACTTTCTTGCTCCTTCGTGGCTTCGAGGCTTCGTGAACACGGTTGTGCTATCTTACACTGAACGGACTGCAAATAACATTAAAGAGTATACCACCAATGGCTTAGAAAAGATATGGAGGGCAGGCGAATTTTGATAACACCGCGATTTTTGCGACTTTGCCTATGCTGGTCGACTACCGCAACCTTCAGCGCGGAGTTGGCGATCGTACTTCCAACAGTGCAAACACGCTAGCTTGGCACCAGGTTGGGAAGGAAAACTTGGTGACCGGTATGCATTCTTACAGCGATAACACCGCGTGCTGGAACGGCACCGGACAAGATAATATCGCATGCATTCGTTCGAAGAACTTCGTAGCTGTTCTCGCAGGGGTGGCTGCTGGTATCATGGCATCGCCCCCGCAAATACAACCCGCCCGGCCGGCGGTGAGGTCACGTGATCACTATGGCTGCACCCGGCACTAAATAGCCCGAGGATATGCACTCGGACAAACTTTGGAGTGGGGCGTTTTGGAGGTGATGATGAGTAGGATGATGGACAGAACCATTTCAGGCACGTATTTTTGGAACAAGGAAGCTTTGTGGCCCAGAGAGTAGGCCCACCCTTTCTTGGTATGTTTAGACGGCAAGTTTTCAGCTACGCTTAATTAAGGTAAGTAAACGTAACAAACTGCCGTATGCTAAACGACGACGCGGGGTTCGAAAAAATGTGACGCTATGGGTCACACGCCTTCATATTTTGACGCAAAACACCACCGTGAAGAAAGACACCGTCGTCAAAAAGACTGTGACATAAAATATAGTGCTTCACAAAAACTGTACCAAAATCCATTCCCCGTCCAATGTGGGGCATTTATGAGAAGGACACTGTGACTTAAAATGTAGCGCTGACACAAACCTTAACAAAAACTTTTAGTTTTCGTCCAACATGAGCAGAAACATGTCACTTTCAGAGCTTAATATTGTGCCACTGCAAAATGCATGGTACTTAAAAGCGGAAATCGGTAACAGCTTTCATCCAAATGCTTTGTAAATGTAGCAAGCAGCCACTGCAAAACTTTTTTTAACAAAGTTTAACTGCAGGGATCTATTAATTTGCAAAGATGTGAGCTTTTAAACTGATTTATGATCAAGATGCGTCTGGTCGGGATGCGCTGGTGCTGGCTAATCAATTGCAGGTATTTTCCGCTGCCGAAGACGACCACGGTCCTTGGCCTCGAAAGTTGTTACGGTTTCCGCAGCCATGACTTCTCACTGAACCACTACATCTGTATTGTTAGACTTTGTGTAATGTCAACGTGGTGTCAGGGTGATGTCTGGCGTCATGGTAATGTCTGTGGATGTTGTCAAGGTGAGTTCGATGTCAACTTTTTTGTATCGTTGGTGAGTCTCTGGTGGTGCTTGTTAGCTCCCTGGAGAATAATGTTTTTCCGCATCTAAATTGGGTTTCTCTGGTGTGCATACAGACGCAATAGCACGCAGCAGCTTGTACGTTCACTTACTTTAACGAACCGTAGCTAAAACTCTTTGTGACTAACTGCATGAATTAACTATGATCCCACTCTTTGGGTAAGTAGGTCTCATCATTTCAAACATACATGCCTGAAGCATTTCTGTCCACCGCCCTATTCCTCATCTTCTCCAGCGCCTCGCTTCAACGCCTGGTCGCGTTCATTTGTTCCTTCCAAATTTGGTGTTGAGAGGGTGTGTTTCCACTGTCGGGATAGGATCGCTGATGCCGCGCTTAAGGTTACAGTGTCGACCAATATAGGCAGAGTCAGACGCTGGGATGTGCAAATTAAATTACTATTCACATCGCTGTACAATCGATGGCGAAATGCTCCCAAATGCATCCCATCCGCCGCTGCGAGGATAGCTGCGAAGTATGTGTTCACAGGGCCTGTGAACAAATAAATGTGATATGATCTTGTCTGGTGCCGGTACATTTGAGATATGCTATCGTATTAAGAATGGATGCCGGTCGCCTTGTTTCTTTCAAACCTGGGGTTGAAGGGTATCTTCCACCTTTTGAGATATTGAGACAAATATAGGATATGATGCTTGCACCGGATACAAAAGGAACGTATAACTTCTTGTATTGTGTAACACAAAGGTAATTCTTGTCAGAATCTTGCATAGGTTGTGCGGCATTTGTTGATTCAATCGACGGCCGTTGCATCTTAAAATCGCGCTCACGAACGCCAGATGTGGACGACTCGACATAGTTTCGTGACCCTCAACGCCGCATGGCCAGTCGAATGGCAGAATTTGAATGACGTTATTACGGCGTCGTGTATGCAAAAAAAAGTCATGGCCGCGAACTGCATCGCAAGGTCTTCAATGTGACTAACTCAGATCAAAACCTCATACAAATGTGAAACGCTTCTTTTAAGAAGAGCACGAATTTGGACTGCACCAAAGCCCTTCAAGATGGCTGTTTCAAGTTCAAACCCCATACAAATGTGGAACACTCCCTTTAAGCGTGTGTGTTTTCACTGTTAAGGTAAAGTCGCTCATGCCGCACTAAACATACGGTGTCGACTAACAAACAAAGTCGGAAAAATTGCTGAGATATTCCAATACGCACACTATCCATACCACTTCAAAATCGGTGGTGATATAATCCTAACTGCTGTGTGCAGTCACTTCAGTGTTAGAAGGTGCAGTCGTGTTCACGTAGCCAGGTAGTAGGAGGCAAAAGGTCAGAAAGCGGGTCAGAACGCCAGATGGTCAGAAGTCAAATGGTCAAATGGTCAGAAGGCCAGAAGAAAGAGCATTCATGAGTTTTTAAAGTGCAAAGGGTACTGTTGAACAAGGCTTATCGCCATTTTAGGCACTGCACAAACAGTGTACCGAACATTGCGGGACCTATTTTGTTTGAGCCATGCGGTATGCAATGAAACATAGCATGCAGCCAGTTTTTACAAATTTCAAGACTGCTTGCGTCGCTGTATTTCATCTGTTGTGAAAAACAGTGCAAAACGTAAACTGTAGAGATAGATGAGACCTTTGCCAAGTAGTCCCGGTTTATAGCTCCTGCATGCCGGGGCCAGTTCAAGCACGCATTAGTATCTCTTGCTCAGTTCAAAGGGGTTATCAAAACCGAGACTACGTTCAGAAATTTCTCCCCATTTTTCGCACTGGTTAACTACGATCAGTCATCATAAGCTTTGTAACAGAAAACACGAGTTAACGCCGTGGCGGCTCCATTTTTGAAACAGCGTTGATTTGAGGCAGTTTGTCAAAATGTCGATTTTTGTTGGTGACCGAAATGACTATGGTCTGTGCCCAATTGCCAAAACGTGATTTTGGGCAAAATCCAGACAGGTTAGAAAGGCGTGGTAGTTCGGCGTGAGCGTCTCTCTGCTGTAACTTTTAACAAAGCCGGTACATACAGTCGAGGGTAGGAAGACGTAGGCATTCAAGTCGAGATCTGAACAATGAAAATAACTCCGGCTGCATTTTTAACACAAACATCGATCATAGCTTTCACTCTCTTGTAACAGGGCGTGGCACCCATATTCATCTCCTGCAGAGTGCAGCGACCAGTGGGTTGGGTGGGGAATGGGGGGGGGGGGGGGGAGGCAAATCTGGCATAAAACGACAGGCGCACCACCGCAGCCACCACACTTCAAACGCCTAGCAGCCACCGCCAACAACCCCGGACCATGAAGGTAAAGTAATACTACATCATAACACTCTCCTTTGGTGGTTTGGCTATACCCCTGTTCCACAGCGTTTGAACCCAGCTTGTAATCCTTCACAAAATGTCGTGTGAATTTTCCTAATGTCCAGACAAGCTTCTAGGACTTTTTACCGGAGTTTCATGGATGCTTTCTACACGCCTCATTAACCAGTTCGGACCCATCCACTCGTGCTTTATCCCTTCCTTAAATCCTATCCCCTCCTATTGTTTCCTTTAAAGAAATTATTGGTGTAATTTGGAAGTAAACGTGGATATATTTTGCTTCCTTGCGTGGATATATTTTGCTTCCCCTTCCCCACCAACGAAATGTGCGAAACTCCGATTGTTTGGGAGATCCCCCAAAATTGCCATTTTGAAAGCAGCAATATCGAATGCTCGGTCCTCCAAAACGCCCATATTTCCCCGCTGCTTTTTAAAACTTCACTTCAGAGCCTTATTTCTCCCTGTTCCACTTCACTGAATGCTGAACATGTCTCGTGTGTACACCCGTCCAAGAGTTAAGGTATAAAATATCAATACATTTAAATCGTCGCTATACTGATACTGAAATACTGATATTCCCTAAATCATGTTGTGAAACTCAGTGAGCTACATGTCAGTGGTCTGCGCTTATAATAACAAGCGAAATATTGTGTTATTGGCCGCCCCTATTTACGCATTCTGGTTATCCCGTTTAGGACCTCAATGCTCCAGCATTTGAGGTACGTCACACAGTCACATCTTACTTGTATGTTCACAAGCCACTGTCCTGATTGCTTCGTTCTACATCCTACAGCTGGCTATCGTCCTCTGCCTGGTGGCTGCGGCTGCTCCCAGCTATGGTGGGTTCATGGGACAATTCGGCCTCAGCGGACTAGGAGCCGGGTACGGCTTCGGCAGACGCGGCGGTGGATTCGCCCTTGGCGCACTGGGAGGCGGATATGGCGGATTCGGCCTCCAAGGACTGGGAGGCGGGTACGGCTACGGCGGGTACGGCTTCGGAGGATTCGGACGCGGATACGGCGGATTCGGCCTCCAAGGACTGGGAGGCGGGTACGGCTACGGCCGGTACGGCTTTGGAGGATTCGGACGCGGATACGGCGGATTCGGCCTCCAAGGACTGGGAGGCGGGTACGGCTACGGCCGGTACGGCTTTGGAGGATACGGACGCGGATACGGCGGATTCGGCCTCCAAGGACTGGGAGGCGGGTACGGCTTCGGGGGATTTGGCCGCGGATACGGCGGTGGATTCGCCCTTGGCGCGCTGGGAGGCGGATATGGCGGATTCGGCCTCCAAGGACTGGGAGGCGGCTACGGATTCGGAGGATACGGCCATCACTATGGTGGATACAAGAAACACTTCTCGAGCTATGGCTACAAATTTTGAGAGGTGAATGGCCTGAGACACATACTTGTATAGTTTGGTGGTATGACTGTTATTTTGGCAGCAGATATATAGACAATTGACGACCATCTTGCACCGCATTTAACCGAATAAATGATCATCGCGAGCATTTAAACCAGGCATATTGAGACAAAAAAACAACAACATAATGAAGCGGAAACGACAAAATGACTAGAAAGCGCAGGCCACTGGGGAAGAAGCAAATCAAGCAAACGGACAGAAAAGCACAGAAAGGAACAGAGCGCCACACAGAGACGCACAACAGACCGGGCTGCTTTTGAACCGGAGAACCCTATGTTTAAATTGCCCTGATAGTGTCGCATGCACCATCAGTACATCAGTGGATAAGAAAATTGCGTCAATCACAGTGGGCACATAAGCTTCCACTGCAACTAGCACATTTCACATTTGTTATTGCAATAATTCTGTTTGCGAGCTACGGTGCATCAACTTCTCCCACCGTATTTCATCCGTGATCAATGATAGTGGTTTAAACGGCCAGTGAGTACCGGAAATGGGACACAGCCGCACACGTAGTTCAGGCGCACAGACATAGGAAATGGAGGGCCAGGGAGCAGACAACCCAACTCTCTTTAAATTTTACCATTGGCCCCACTGGCGAGGACTGAAAAAATGATCAAAGCGGATATCGCCCCTCTGACGCATTACGAATCAAGCAGCTCTCACTCGACAAAGGGACAGGAGAGCTCCTCGAGCGTAACAGCGCTGGCTCTGCGTCACTACTTCTGCTCCGAATAACAGTTGTGTGCAGAGATTTTACACGTTGAGGTGGTTCAACGCTGTTTGCTTCCTCTGTCCTCGATTGCCGCATATAAAAGCCATTGTGAGTGGAAGTGTTACACACATTTTTCCGATTCATTACATCGTCCAGGCACTCTAGGCCACTGATCTCAAACGGCTGCTGAACGTCACACTTCATTTTTATCGTCAGTCCTTGTTTGCAATAAAACACCCCTGAATGTTGCACCCTTGTTCAGGTCGCCCGCCCCGTCATGAGTAATAAAAAAGAAGCCTGAGGTGACTGTAGAGCTCACGAAAATGAGCTCACGACGCTAGCTTCCTGGGTCTGAAATAGTGATGCTTTGAAAACCATCTTCAAAAGCTATGCGTTACCGGAACGTTGGCCCGAAGGCCCATGCAGATTGAGCGACACGGCGAAGGACAAATACGAGTTGCATTTTTCAGTGTTTGGCGTCCTGTCGCGTTTTCCTTTATTCAAGTTTTCCAAGTGATGAAACGGAGATTTAGACGACTAGTTAACTTGTCCATAGCGTAGAGAAGGCTGTTATTCTTTCTCTTTAAAGTGCGATGCAAAGTGATCAAACTTTTACTGTGACGGATGCAATCAACATTTTAATCAATAACGTTTTACCAAAACTGTTTCGTCAGACGCCAGCTGAGAGGCCATGCATGCGAGAGTCAGCAATTAAAACTGGAATAAATTTAAGCGGATTGCGTTCAGCGTATGTCTCCGATCACGCTGAAGTTAGCACAAGTTGTCATTAACCGTCCTGTTTACATGACTAACTGTGTTTTTTTGCAAGTTTTTCAATGCAGTGTATTATGCTAAACCGGCAATACAGAATGCGACACGCTATTTTTTTCCAAGTTACATAAAAAATTATGCACGTTGCGAACAAACAGCGACGTGTTGAATCACAACGTCTGCCATTTATGCCCCAGTCTCTCGTTGAGACTCGTGCTCTTTCCCTGAACGGTGATATGGAATGTGTCGCAATGTATGTTTTCCACCAAATTTACAAGAACTGTGCGAGTCACAAATAAGCTACTGCGTCTACCACTCGCGGGATCTGTCTTTCCGACCTTGATTGCGCGTGAAGACGCGTTTAGGTTGCCAAATGAATTGATGCCTATCATCAAGGTTTGGATGCATGAATTGATTATGGTTCTTGTATACCACGTTGATTCCTTGCTAACATTTCCCGCTTCCTCCCTTACAAGCACGACATTTTCAGGGCCTAATGTATCAAATATATATATATATATATATATATATATATATATATATATATATATATATATATGTATATATATATCAACCAAATTCACGTATGCAAGCACACGGCGTTCGCACGCAATACGACTCCCCTCGGCAATCCTTCTTAAGACCTAAGCTCCCTTATATTGTAACCATCCCGGACGCGTAAACCCGACCCGGGACCCGCGCGCTCACCTACCCCCACCTGTCCCGTGGCAAGCCCATCCTATCTCTCAAGTCCCCTTAATCTGTTTACTCTTTGGTGGCTTCGGTCGGCGAGTGAAAACAGCGGAACGCCAGTCGGGCGGGGTCTAAAAAACTGGCATATGAAGCAGACACGCTCGTTCTCCAAAACGACTCCTCCGATCGTCTTGAAACTTTCGCCAATCGATTCCGTGCACTTAGGCTGGATTAGGTTAGGTTAGGTTAGGTTAGGTTAGGTTAGGTTAGGTTAGGTTAGGTTAGGTTAGGTTAGGCCAGGTCATCTGCACTTGCACCCAAAAGGCCTTACCTCCTGACGACCTTTTTAAGACAGTGCCCTGAGTTGCTCCTACGGTACGGCCCGTGTCTGCAGATACCTTGCCGGCTCGGATGCACATAAGTTGACCTTTGCGCGGCGGACAGATCAGCGTGTATTTTCCAGTCACGTTTGAATGAACCATGAACTGTCAATCGGCAAGGAAGAGGTCATTTATGGTGCACTCACCTTGCCAAATACTGCACATATCTTCTTCGTCGGTCGTTTACTTGCCATGTGACATGAATATTCCTAGGTTGGTCGGTATTTTGTACACACCCGTATTGAACGCATTTGGTCCTTAAATCAACCATTAAAGGAAATGTTCCACCTCTGGAGACAATGAAGCAAGCATCATATATGATGTTCACTTACAACCATGCACGTACTTCTGTTGGAGAAGATTGTTCTGAACAACACAATTTCTCTGTTTAAAAAATATGTTCCTCAGTACTTCATTGTTTGGTGACATCATCGTGCCTTGCACAGCATTGATTGGGAGCCAACTGAGGGCCGTTTTAGCTGGAAATCGTGCTCACGAGCGTCATGTATTAACGGCTCGAGTTATATTTGTCATGGGCGTGATCACCGTGTGGCCAACGGAATAACATAGTTGGAATGATGTCATTATGGTGTCATGGATGCCTAGGTGACCTTGAAATAGTCTACAAGACAAATTCTGTACATCTTCGCAGGCGTGTAGCTAAACAACTAGCAGGGTTTAGTTATTAAAGAGGACATGGCTGTGAGCCACACGGGATGATCTTGGAGATGACATCTCAGTTCAAAATCCTATACAAAAGTGGAACACTTCCCTTAAAATAACACTTGCCTTATCCTAGAATCAGGTGCGTGGGAAGGACCGTCCGAAACATGACGGCTAGGATGGAAGGTTTCGAAAACCCGTGCCGCGTATAAGGTTTCAAGGTGATGTGCCACAGGACATCAGTACTCCAGTCATTGTTCCGCCGTACGTGTGTCTCTCATTTGTCCCACCACGTTTTGCAAGGGATGCTTGCAGTGGGTGCTTATGAAAGGTCGAAAGGTGTTAAATTATTTCAAACTGAAACTAGGAGTAACCACAGTCAGAAACAGCTGGAAACTTCACGCTTTCAAGTCATTGGAACTGAAAGAACAACATAGTTTACGAAAGGACCATGCTGTAACAGTTTGTCAGAGACCAGTTCAGTTATAATAAAGTCAATTGTCCCTGTAGACTGCAAACAGTTTTGAAAGGACACACATTACCTTCTCCCAATGAAATCCATCGACTTTCAAATGATAATTGGACTGTTCTTCCTTGGCAGGACGACGTGATACGCCATCTGGATGGTTTACCATCATGAGGGCGGAGGCCAGCCCCGTCATAGAGCCGACGTCAGGGCCGTTCGGGGAGGCCACCGAGATGTCAGCCCTTCAGCCTCTCACGAACGGACGGGACTGAGAAGGTGACAACAGCGATGACGACGACTTTGTGGATCCCCGTCGCGTCAGACCGTCAGACCTATCAGCGCCGCGGTGGTCCGCGGCCCCCCCCCCCCCCCGCGCCTGCGGCTGACCCGACGGCCGGTGCACGCAACGCCCTGTCGGATCTGCTGGACAAGATGCAGGAGTCCATTCTTCATAATTTGGACGATCACCCTGAGCGAGGCCGGACATGGGACAAAGAGCTGTCGGCATTCATGGCGGGCTGGTGCGCCGCCACGTCCTCCGTCCCCGCCAGCTCTGCGCGCAAGGTCAACTAGGTCAGCGGGAAGACGCGGCCACCACCCTTGTCCTACGGCCGGAGAGGCGGAAGAGCTGTCCACTTCGTGGACTACGGCGGTTGCTCGCTGGTCGTCCTCCGAAGGCCAGAGGGGATGACCAACCGTACCTGCGGGATCTGGCATCGTCGTGCCACAGCGCCGCACAGCCTGTAGAACTGCGTCGAGCAAAATCGAGCACTGGCTCGCAGAACATGTCATGTCAAGTTGGTGTCATAAAACGGCAAATCTGTTAGTGAAATCATCGACGCACCATGGAAATGTCTTAATGCAGATTGTTTTCTCGCACTTCAGTGCTTTGATCACTGGATGTACATCAGGTGCCTTCTTGTGGAAATATCCGGGCCTTTCATTATATTGCTCTAGCTGCAGGATAGAGGGGCTTTGCTGTCTGAGGCCTTTCTTGTCGTTCCAAATACAGAGTTCGAGGTGATTGCATGCATTCAAGTCTAAATGTGCTTGGGGGAGTGTGCAAGATATCTCGTGTGGTGCTGAACAATAGAGGTGGCGTGCACAGGGGCCTACAATGCTTGTCTTGGGGCATCCAGCCGCTCTCTACTTGCCGATCCCGCGCGCCGGTCCGGCTCGGGGTGCTGCTGTGCGCAGGGCAAAGAAGGAGTCCGATTTAACGCTGCGCAGTCTTTGTCTTGTTTGTGGCTGCGCAGGCGGGGGTGGTTTGATG